CTGCTTCACTTCACACACGCGTGTCCAGTTCTCCGAAGAGAGAGAGAGAGAGAAAAAAACTATGGAAGATATCACGCGCGGCCGGTCACCCGTCCTTGTCTCTCCACTGTTTATGCACTGTCCTTTGTGTGCTTGACTGGCGTCAAGTGCGTGAGATAGAGAGAGAGAGAGACGCGCGAAAACTTTGCACGGGACGCAAAAAAAATGGCGGGCGCTGACACGAGACAAGGCCACGTGCGTTTCGTTAATGTTTATGCTTTACAGGTGGAGTGTGGAAGGTAAGGTGTTTTTTTTCTTTATTCCACGCACTGGCACAGCACTGCACTTATGTCCTGCTTAACTGCCCTCGCTGGCACCGTTGTCGCAAATTGCGAATTTTAACTTTTCGGGGTCACCACTTTAGAGTTCACAACGGTGAGCTTGACGAGCTCTAGGAGGCCGAGCGGAAGGGACAGGGTTAACGCAATGACAAGGCCAAGGTTTGATCAGAATATAATATAATTGACTTTAACGATTAACAAACTGTAGAATTATTAAGATGGATCGTTGTGTCGAGGCGTGGCTCACAAGACGTAGCACGTGCTGTCGAGGTGAGGGCCAGTGCCGAACTGCTGTGTGCCACATTAGGTGGCTGCTTTAAAGGAGAGATTCCGTGAAGGAACAGAGGTGGCAGCAGCGCCTAATTTTGCTGCCGCAAAAATCTCGCGCGGGGCGAGCTGCTGCTTCCGCCGGTTTTGGCTCTTTGGCGCAGAGGCCTGCGGCGCTACAACCACTCTCCCTCCAGCGTTGTTCGCGGGAGGCGGACAGAGCGAAAAATGGACCCTTTTCTTCGTCTTCGTCGAAAGGGCGGGCTCTGGGGCCGTTGACGGGTCGGCAGATGGTGGTTGCCTAGTTGGAGGCACCTCCGGTGAGTCTGCCGGTGATGGTGACGAGGCCGTTGGAGAGGGTGGTGCCGTCTTCGTTGAAGGCGTTGAGGCGTCTTTGGCGTCCAGGTATGCCGGTTTCAGGGCGTCGGTTGAGACCGTGTGTGGTTTGCCGTTGACGTCGATGACGTATGTTCGTTCGTCGGTGCGACGAATGATCCGATGCGGCCCGGAGTAAGGCGGTTGGAGGGGTTTCCTGATGGAATCGACCCTCTTAAAGACGTGCGTGCATGTCCGTAGGTCCTTGAAAAAGAACGGAGTTCTGTCCGGAATGTGTCTGGACGCTGGGACGGCCTTGACACTCTGCGCGAAGCTGCGGAGCTTCTCTGCAAAGGAGGCGGGGCTGGTCCCAGGTTGGCTTGTCGTCGAGAAGAAATCTCCGGGTACTCTCAAGGCGGTTCCATAGAGCATCTCTGCTGAGGATGCTTGGAGGTCCTCCTTGAATGCCGTGCGAAGGCCGAGTAGGACCAACGGGAGCCGGTCTGGCCAAGGGCTATCGAGGTCGCACATAAGGGCCGCTTTGAGCG